TCCAGCCGCGATTGATGGTTCAGTTGGATATACCATCTTATTGCATATATGGCTGTAAGATGCCTTTTATTGACCAAGGAGAAGAAAGCTTAATGTCGTGTTCTACTTGAAGAAAAGTACGTCAAATCTAATATTCTGATCACATTACGTTTGCAAGTAATATTGCCAAATATTTTGATTCGATCATACCGGTTACCAGCGGCTACAAGTATTAATTATAGCATGCAACATCATAGCTCCGTGAAATCTCGTCCCCTCAACACCATCATTTACAATGGAATCAGTAATTGACATTGTGAATACCTTTGATTCCTTTTCAAGTAAATCATTATTTCTAATCCCTCATCTTATAGTACATCGCAAGCAAAAGAAAAACAGCATATGGTACGCGGCAAATGCCAGGAAACTGGCGCTGCACAATTTTTTGCAGCCGAAGAAAAGCCTGCAATTGCTTCGCAATGATGAACACTCATCTACTATAACAACGATCAGTCTGCAACTTCCATCGTTGCAGGTGCACGTGGTTTTTTACCCCGAATTTATTTAAGCTCTGGTTTACGCGTTTCTTTACTAAGAGGAGGATACATAAATCGTCATACTACCGTATATCCTGGCGAGTCTGCTGTCCGTTCGATTCAAATACAACCTTTCAGCGCTACCAATCATTTGACGGTGCGTATGAATATACCGGACCTTTTGAACCTGGTAAGGGCACGACTTTTGTAGCGGCATTGAGGCCCAATGATTCGTTTTACCAACCATAGCCTCACTCAAGTCCTTCGTTGTCTCTGCAGCTCCTTTGCGAGCTCATCGGACGCCAGTTCATAAAGTTTGGCCATACTGGTCAGCAAGACCTGAAACGTCAATTGCAAGTCAAAGGAGGCAATGAGGAACCCACTGAGAGCAGTACAGAAAATAACCTAGCTTTGTAATTCGCTTAGTATCTCCATGGATCGTAAAAGGTTTTCACGAGAATACGATAATCGCCATGACAATCAATGAGTAGTGCATTGTTAAAGGATGGACGAATGCAGTCATGATTTTCGATCTTCGATACGGACAATAATAATTGGTGTGCAAGGAATAATCTCAAGGTATCGCTTGAGAGCGCGCGGCTTGTCATCGCAGATATATTCCACGGAATATCGATGCTTCGTGTACAAGAAAATCTATAGGAAAGAAGAGTGAGCTCTGGAGCCCCCCCCTTTAAAACGAGTAATCCAGATATGAGTATTGAATTAAGTAGCAAAGCACTATGCAAAAGCAGTCACTGAAAAATGAGCGTGATACTGTAAATGTATGAAAAAATTCAGTACAGCATAATTGGGCAACGCGATCCGCCTTTGCCTATAAGATTTCAGCATTTATTTATGTGACCAAATTTACCTTTGATTACTTTTAGCCATTAACAAGCTTGACCCACAAATAGTGACCTTGACAAAGAGTAACCTTGTTTATGCCTATTTACCTATGAGAGGATACAGGTCACACCGGACTTAATGCGTGTAAGGTACACCAAGTCGCGTTTCAATTGGACAGAAACACAGACTGATAAGCTCGATTTAAATAGTTTGGCAATTATCTCGCGCTCATTCACTAAAATCTTCAGCCTTCGGGCCCACAATTGTCAATATTTTAGATTTCGTAATGTTCATGGCATGCGTAATAACCCTCGACCATGTAAAAAAATAATTCAGGTCTTACCATCTAATACATGTGCGAATTTAGTCACACAGTAGTAATTAGTTCATGTCTATTCCAGTCGTGCACAAGACTCTTTCTCGAAGCATTATATTTACAATAAACGATAACGGAACACGTACTCCGCGTATCTGAGTCGGATTACATTAATTTGCCAGCATAAAATTTTGCATTGGAATCCAAACGCAATTACAATTAATTTAAAAATCTTAAATAAAATCCTATTGTATTTCATTACTCATGAAAATTTTATTTTCTTAAGAATATGAAGTTTAATGTCATTCCGGCGTAGAGACGCACAGTCTTGTTCACATAAGTTGCAAGGCTACTACGATAACGAACTATTTACAATAACTCCGCTGGACAAGCAAATGAGCCCTACAATTTCTTTATGGTTAGTGTGCACCCATTGTAATTGACCAGGAATTCAAAAAGCGGCTCACTTCAGCTGCAATGACAAAAGGCTCGATATTTTCATCTATTTCTTTCACACATAACTGTAAGACCCACCTTGAAGGTTCCAAATATTTGTCACGTCTTACAGCTTGCTCTACATATCTTAAATACGGACATTTACATCTTTAAATTTAGAGACAAGATCGCACAGCGGTCGCGAGCTGCGATACGCATCTAGTGAAGTTCTTTAGCCTTGTAGGGTCTCTGCGGTGTTACTATCGACTCCCATCATCCGTACCGCTGATGGGGGTTGCTGCGTGTACGGTATTTCTATTCGCAAATCAGTATGTGCTCGATTTTTTTATTTTATCCATAGAAAGAAGACAGACACATCTAAGGTGCTGTATATTTTGATCTACTTTCTTTGTATAGTCAAATGAAAATAGAGTCTTCGCAGTAAATTTGTTAAGAGCGTGATGTGGTGATGGAGAATCATCACGATGATAGATTATATAAGTATGATTACAGGTCTTTAAATGTAGATTTAAGCTTAGAAGAAAGCCTATAAAGTGCTCATCTTAAAGCTTGAAGCCTCGACTAGAGAAGGTTATGAGAGAAAATATCTGCGAATAAATTATATGAAGGTCTATTTTTAACTGTGTATTGTGTAGAAAGTATACATAATATAGGAGCCATACACGTGTCTGTATGGTGCCGACCAAGAAATTAGAAACACTCCATGTATAACACATCATTAGAACAAATGTGTAAAAATTCGTTGAGTCATTGCACTGACTACTTACGTTTGCCGTCACATACCAGGACTTTAAGCTCGTGCATTCGATAAACACAAGCGCCTAAAAAAGATTTTATAAGCTCTTTTATCTCTCGCCTCAAACTATCTTATTATCGAACGACGAGCTGGTGGGCCTCATCCAAAAAGTAATTTATCTAGCCAGGCTTTTATCGCTGTAAGGAATTTGTTATCCGTGGTACAGCTCCGATATCACATTTGAGCGAGAACAAAGGAACTAGAGAAGATAGCTGCTGCGGATTGAAATGGGTGGTTGTGGGCATCTGCTAAAACCAGCTTAATTGCGTAAACACGATCAGCGCGAAAATTTTTAGCGTATGAGCTAATCTCACTAAATTCACACAGCAAGAGATTTTATATAGTTATGTCAGTATCAGACTTTCATTCAACTGTTCCATTAACAATTTCGCAGCCCCGTATTCATTGTATATCTCGTAGGAGGATTTTCATTTTGGGTCTGGATCGATACAACTGTCACAAAAGCAGATCAAGTCCCAAAACTATCACAAAAAAAATTGTCAGCCACAATTCTAATCTACTGCAACATAAGAGACATTATATGTGACTTAACGAATCTTTACAATTAAAAAAAGGGTTGATTTCGAAATGGGTGCACACTCTTCGTTTTGACCAAATGCTCTTCCACAATCAATTTCCACCCACATACACAAATTTCCTACGCTCACAAACCCCCTAGCTCGTGATACTTTCACTGCATGCAAGCCCGGTCACACGAAGCAGACTGGATCGAGAATGTGAGTGTCCCGTCATAGCACTGTTCGTTCAATTTTTAGGCAACCGTATTAGCTCTCGGTTTGTGTCAGTAATGGCATCCTATTTTAAATGCGTAATTTACCTTGTATAGAAGTGCGAGATGTGCGAACAATATATAAGTGGCCTAACACTTTTTCATAGTTGTTTACCCTGGCCAATCTGTTATAATGTATAATCCTGGCTCGTTTTGGACTGAATAAAATTGTTTTTTAATGATGTCTATAGAATCTCGTCATGATTTCTCACTGAGAATCCTGAAGTAAATCATGACTCTTAGCCACTCGTCCACAATATGCGTGACATCAGGACGCTTTAATCGAGTTAGCAGACCATTCGTCCAATAAATGGGCTCACAGATAATGAAACCCCATGCTTGTTCAACGGGACAATTACGTTTTTCTTGCAAGAAAATAAATTGTATACGCGCGCACATCAATCTAGCTGAAGGCGACAGCGATTAAATGATGGTAGATGAAAAGGTAGTTTACACATATCAGATATATTTTTCATGCAAAAAAATATCTTAATCTCTAAAAAATTGTTGAGACTTGCATATTCTTCACCTCTTAGTTAAAGATAGATTGCAGCAATGTAAGAATTATTCACGTCTGCACAGAATGTAAATTGAGCTATCTTGGTCAGAATATAAAGAAGTTGCCATGCTGATGGCTTAGCAACTGTCTTGCCCACACCAGATTGGCTATATCTGAGCGTGGAAACATAAAGCTCTTACTTTCCACCCATCCACTCTATCTTCGTATCACAAACCACTACCAGTCATCCTCATTGTTCACATCTAAAAGTCTTCTTACACAAGTACTATACATCACCCTGAAACTTTCAGTTTTGGATGAAACACTGACTTATTCAGCGTGGCTGCAGCAACGCCGTTTTGAACGATCTGACATGATCATCGATCGGCACCGTATATCACGCCAAATTTGAGTGATACCAGTTTGATGTACAGCTTGATGATATGCTTCTTTTCAGTCACTAAATATCGTATCGCTCGGAGTCTCAGACAGAACTCAATTCGGAATGAGCGAAAACAACAAAAAACTACACAGATGTAGAATTAAAGCGAGCTCCTGAGTACGAGGTATTGTATAATATATGATCAATACATCCGGGACCAGGGTAAGCGTATTGATACTCGTCTATGAAGCAGAATGTCATTCGTTAATCGGCGATAGCGTTTGTACTGTGGTAGAGTGATTTAAAATAATTTTTGACAGTGGTATGCAAGTGTAGTTACATAATTTGTGTCTCAAATGAGACGTCATTTCTGCGTATTCGACAAAAATGCTCTCGGTCCTTACACATGTGAGATGTCGCGCCACTGTATCCAGCAGTCGCTTGTGCTATCTTCAGACACGTTAAATGCAACATTAGAGTGATCTTCGTGCACCTCGTCACCACCTGACGGCTTTGCCCAACAGTCGCGCGCGAAGTGCCCGCGCTTCCCGCAATTGAAGCACTGAACATTCGACCCTTTCTTTCGCTGACCGCCATTCTTCTTTGTAGGCCTGCTCTTTTCTATGCGCTTGCCGATGTGCAACGCTGTCGCTTCTTCGATTCGCGACGAGTCTTTCTTGCGTACCTCTTCGGCTATGATTTTGTTCACGAGGTCTTTAAAGCTAAAGTCGTCACACTCATACGAAACGCTTGAACCAGGCTTTCATATGATGCTGGAAGGCTGCGCAGCATGGTTGCGCACATATCCTCTTCGCTAGGCCCACACTCAGCTCCACCCATCTTCAGTACCAATTGTTCCAGCTCCATGACGTGAGATGTCATGTCTGGCGCCGTGTACTTAAAAGACGCAAACTTTTCCTTTAGCCACAGCCGGCTTGCCATATCGTGAGTCCGATGAACTCGAGCGAGAGCTGACCATGCATCGCGTGCATCCTCCGTGCAAACGACGTGCGTGAGCTGTGAGTCGCTCAGGTTTAACACGATCGCTGCGTGCGCCTGCTGCCCCTGAGCTGCTGTGACGGCCGCTGCACCGTTCACTGCCTCCCATAGTCCCTTAGACATGAGGAACAACTTCATCTTGAACGCCCATAAGGTGTAGTTGGTTCCGTTGAGCAATTCCATCTTGGGCGCAATCTCAGCGCTTGGGCTCATAACCTGTTAAATTCCTAGGTTGTCGTGAGCGCTTAGAAGTTGCTTGTGGTCGAAGCAGTAAAACCAAAAGTGAATAGCATTGTGTGTTAACCTCTTCCTACCGTTAGTCTCATTCTTGCTACCATTAGCTCTTCAGCGCTTCGTCGCCAGTCGTCTCAGCTGTCCAATCATCATTCGCGGTTACACCTGCAGACCGGTCAATACTAATGACCAATCACACGTCGTTGTCGTGCCCCTGTCGCAAAAGTAGGGGACGTCACTATCTGGCAGGACAGTGCTGGTGAACCCTAGACACCAGGTCCCGAAGGCTTAACTTTATAACATGCCCCCACCTGGGATCGAACCAACCCCTCCGGGATAACGCTGCCACGCCTTCCCGACTGAGCCACTGAAACTTGTCAACTATCCGTGCAACTTTTCCTAAAATACTTGTACTAACTACTAACCAGTACAAACAATGAAACACTTGAATATAAATGAACTTTCCATGCAACTGCACAAGAAGCATCACCTTCCACCTACAAACAGTACAAAATCTAAGACTTTGTGGCACACATCAGAGAGAAAGGGAACGCGACAATGGCCAACGATTGGTTAATTAAATGGGTAATCAGCGGGGAAGAGACGTAAAGGTATGGAAAGCAAGCGGAGATATGACAGTACAGAAGATAAGAGATAACACACGATTTATAACTCACTGTTGATGCTACTATTTCGGCCACAAGCATCATCTACTGAGCGCTCACGTCAACCTTTGCATTCGAAATTGGTGTGGTCGGGTGCTGTGCGGTCGGGTACTGTGTGTCGTGTGATGTGTCGTGGTTGATGTGTTGTTGTGTGTATGTGTGTTTGTGTTTGTCCTTTCTATGTCGTCGTCAGTGTGCCCGAGTGATCTAAGGGGGTAGACTCAAGCTCTACTGTGTTCGCACTCGTGTGTTAAAATCCCACCGCTGACACGTAGGCTCCGACCACTGGACGTTACCTGCTGCTCAGCAAGAACAAAGCGGCAGCATGTGAGACACTGGCCCGCACCAAGCGAGGCAGTAAGTACGACAAATGCTGAATTCTATTGGACGACTTCGGCGTCCTGTGCGCGTATGCAGAAGTCGTATCGTCAATCCTCTGACAAGTGCCACTGGTGCTTATGCTCGACTCGCTTATATTCACTGGGGTGCCGCGACTCCGGTCTTCATATGGCGTTAAGCCGTAGCACGAATATCGTGAAATACAGGGCTGCTGTGAACGTTAAAATTCTCGTGGTAAAATGAATAGGTATAGGTATGATGACCGGATCCGTGGAACACGTGTGGTGGTAAACGAGAATTTATAATGAGTGGCAGACTCTCGCATATGTAGTAATTAGAGATGTTAAGACTGTTGCACCTTACAAACCGACTAATACGCTAGTACCTCCCCTTTTCATCAAAAGATAACATAAATTTAATCTATTCGAGGAAAAAAAGGGTTAAAGGAAACTTGAAGGATTACGTCGAGATTAAGCCGCAAGGTGAAAAAAAACGAGTGCTGTATAAGCTCAAGCGACGGCAAGAATAAGGGTGCGATGGAAGATCAAATTGCAGCAAACACACCTATTGTAATAATTTCTATCAGGAAAATTGCAGACAATGATCAAGAACGATATCAATCGAGGAAAGTGTTTGATGTTGCCTAAAAGTTAGAATCGAGGAGATTGGTCATGGGGCACTGATCTGCTACAAAATAAACCAGTTATCATTCAGAACCACTTCCGATCAACGATAATGAAATTGCAAAAAAACCAAGGATAAGAAGCAAAGTATGATGTGACAGGGATCGACCAATTTTTTTTAGAAAACAGACTTTGAGATTCTAGCGATGAAAAATGTAATTAAAACACTTAAAGAGATCAATAAAGTCGGAAAACAACCTAGATCAACGCTACTGGGAGTGAGCTAAATTCGGGTTAATGATCGCGAGGGAGAAGATCCGGTTCTAGAAATTCCAGCCGTAATACCGTCGAAAGCACAGCCGAAGATCAAAAGGCGCGAGAACGGGATATTTGACGATATTTGTTTTTAGTTATGATGCGATCGGCGCAAGAATTAAGAAAGAAGGATCGCCTGTCACATCAGTGTGTTATCATGTAAGCAACAAGCTGTGCTGAAGATGTCGATCATCATCTGGATTTTTCCCAGATGTTGCTACAACCACGAATGATATACCGATCGACAAATTTTAAAAAGTTTATCCTAATTTGCTTATGTCGGGCGGTCAGGAGAAGTCACTACAGTAAAATAAAAAAAGAAACAGCATCTAGGTAGTAAAAAAAGTTATACCTTATTTGCTGCAACACGTGGAGTAATTGTGATATCGGTGTGGGAAGGGCTTACCCGGTCGAGCGAAGGGTCCGACCTGTAGCACCAAAAGTTCGAGAGACGATCACTGACAGATTAGAACGATTGCTATCGAACAAGATGATCTGATCGTTTACCTCACCAAGCGATTCGACGATTGTGATATTCTTAAGAAGCATGGTGAACACACAAGGCGATTTTTAACTACAGGCGGGTGAAGCAGCGGACATGATTGATGGTTCACAAATTGCCTTTTACTAGTGAGTTATACCAGTAAATGAATGAAGTTATTAATTATTGTTCCCTTGATATGACAAGTAAATTTTAGGATGTTGATATGACCGAGAAAAGTAAGATTTTTGCGTAGTAATTACACTGTCGGGGTCGCTTATCAGTTACGGATTGATTTTGAGTTAGATGAAGCTCTACTGATTTAACAGCGCTCGATCTGTAGTGCTCTGTACGGATATTTGACGATAGGTGAAGAAAATAATTCGATCACGGCTAGAAATTAGTTATATCGCGATATGCAACGAAGGCTACACGGAAAAATGATCCAAGGCCACCATAATTGGGACTGAGATCAAATGTTAGCGATGCACTGATTCATGCTACGGCATGGTATTCCCTAATAAAATATTGATCTCTGTTAAATTTGCGAAACGAGCAGAATGTTGTTTTTGAGATTGTATTAATAACGTCGATAACTATGACATGAAGTCTCGTTGTCAGGTTTAAAAGCACTCTCTAGTAATTTTTATTCCCTGGACGTCGAAAACGGTGCAATCTATCAAAGGAAGTCCAACTTTTTTAGCAGGTGTATCGAGAACTTTGGAATCTTTGCGTTTATGATGCATGATCAGCTCGAAGAGGACCTCCACAAATGACCCACGTGAGTTGTGCACGGATAATTTGGACTTGGAGCCATGCCAGATTGCGACGACAAAAAATGGAGAAGATCGTGGTTTCGAGGGCAAAATTCGTCGGAATAAGACATTAATTGCATTCAGATTTTAAAGGAACGATAGCTACCACACCTCTTTTAATCTTTTTTTTTATCTAATTTGATGATATGTGATCGTGGCGTATACCAGCAAGAGGGCAGTAGTGGCTTCGATACCATAAGCGTATGATGGTTTGTACTGGATAGTTACGTTCTATAGTTGTACGTTGAAGCCTTATATTGTTATTTGAGGAATGATCAAGATGAGGTGATTTTACTTCCCTTTGGATGCTCGAAATTTGTTATACTAAGCTGGTCTCACATGAGATTTTGGTACTTTGTACGCGAGAATAGACACTGTTATGAATATTCGAATATTCGGGCCTCAACTAGTATCGGTAAATTGATTTAATCTTCTGTCAAATGAATGCTACATATTTGCTGATTCGAGAGAAGTAATTTATGGGGAAGGTTACTACAAGCATAACACCTGGTAACAAAGTGAATGAAGCTGTAATCAAAGTAGCCTGATCGTACGCAGCAAGACAGATAAAAGAGCTCACGACTTCATATAGAGCAGACGAAAACTTTCTAGCAATTAGTATCGATGAATTAGCTGGGGTGAAGCAGAAAGGTGGAGCGTCCAGCAATTTTACTCAAAAAATAACAGAATGGAAGATCGAAGCGGCTGCTTTCGAGTTTGCCCCTATTGTAACTTTGAATAAAGCGATTTATCGAATATCATACATCTGGATTAATTTTCTCACTGATTAAAATCAGCATACGGGCGTTTTCGTGCGAAAATGCCAGAATTGGTGATCCGTCAAATGATATAAGAGAACGATTGCAAGGCCCCAGACCTTCAATTTCGAATTTATAAATTTTTGGAAATTCTTGTATCGTATCGAATCCGTGAAACCTCCTACACATGAAACGGAACTGAATACAGAGTGCGAATCGATAGCAAGTAAATCTCTTTAGCGAGAGAAATATCATTTGTGATCGTTTTATTGTGACAGTCAGGATCTGATTACTCTTAATCCATTAAGTAGGTTAACATTACCATTCAATGTCAATCACCCCGTCAAAGAGGCACCCTGTCAAAGAGTCTTTTATTACTCCATTCGCCATCAATATGCATTATAGGCTAAAGATCTACGATAACGAGATCGTTTAATTAAAAACTGCTTTTAAAGTGATGCTATCTCATTAAGAGGAAACCAGAGCTCAAAAATATTTTATGCCGAGAGCTTTAATAATGCAAGGGGAGGTTACATTAGAATGATGCCGCGCGGTCCTTCAGGTCACCCTGGGGTGAACTGCGAGCACTCTTACTTAGTTTAAATTCCTTACAGGACCCGCACTCCTCATTACACCATGGGGAATTTCGGCCAGTAGGGCCTCCAGCCCACACAACTATCACAGTCCTTGCGCGAATTGGCAAGGCGGCCACTTCTGCGTGGTTGCTCGTCTACTATAAAGGCCTACCTCCGGGACCCTGTATCGGAACCCCCATCGGGAATCGATCCAGGTACCTCCCGGTACCAGTTCTAGCGGTCTACCATCGGCCACTGGGGTAGGTGGGCGGTTGCATGAGACATATGTGCTATAGATGTTTTAAAAAATTTCACGATTACTTCGCAAATTAGTTGCGGTATCGGATCCGACTATGTCTGCCAAAAAGCAGCGCAGTAGCTTTAAAGGTTTAACCGAAAGAATGGGGAGATTAAAGATATTCCGAGAGCAGGATCAAGCTCACAAGAAGTTAAGAGCGTAGTGATAATGTAATCGAGAACCTTTGTAGCAGGAGTTAAGCTAAGGGATTAAATTGATAAAGTATACTTAGTACAGGATCGAGCGACGAAAAGAAGTCGGGAGCGTGGTAAAAGTTAAAAATGGTCAAAAGTGAAGCAGCTATTCTAGCTACAAGAATTCATTCATGCCACACAATCGCTTTTAATTTTTTTGCAAGATCTGGGTGCACAGATGAACAGACTAGATGTCGGTTTTCGTAAGGCTACTATTGTAAAGCCGCTTGTACAGGTTTAGTGGTAAGTCCAAAGTTTTTTACAAATTAGCGTTGTTGTAATGTCTTATAACCGTAAGGATTGGTTAGGCATGTCTGTTGGTGGAAGGTGATGCTTCTTGTGCAGTTGCATGGAAAGTTCATTTATATTCAAGTGTTTCATTGTTTGTACTGGTTAGTAGTTAGTACAAGTATTTTAGGAAAAGTTGCACGGATAGTTGACAAGTTTCAGTGGCTCAGTCGGGAAGGCGTGGCAGCGTTATCCCGGAGGGGTTGGTTCGATCCCAGGTGGGGGCATGTTATAAAGTTAAGCCTTCGGGACCTGGTGTCTAGGGTTCACCAGCACTGTCCTGCCAGATAGTGACGTCCCCTACTTTTGCGACAGGGGCACGACAACGACGTGTGATTGGTCATTAGTATTGACCGGTCTGCAGGTGTAACCGCGAATGATGATTGGACAGCTGAGACGACTGGCGACGAAGCGCTGAAGAGCTAATGGTAGCAAGAATTAGACTAATGTTAGGAAGAGGTAAACACAATACTATTCACTTTTGGTTTTACTGCTTCGACCACAAGCAACTTCTAAGCGCTCACGACAACCTAGGAATTCAACACTGTTGAATTGACTTAGGTTTCTGATAATGAGGCAGACTTGCGGTCGGGATGGGAAACCGAAAAGTGAGTTGCATTTAATTGGATTCGCAAATCGAAACCAATGGCTACCAGACACCGATGACTCTCAGCCACCGATTTCACCGTTCTTTCTCTCCTATGTGACATTTCCTATCTTGGGTAATCACGACTCGTAACATACCTGCGGTAAACACTCCACACAAGCCTATGCTATCAGAAACCGATGACTTTCAGCCACCGATTTCACCGTCCTTTCTCTCCTATGTGACATTTCCTATCTTGGGTAATCACGACTCGCAACATACCTGCGGTAAACACTCCACACAAGCCTATACCCAATGATAGTTCTTGCGTGGTGTGGGGGACATAACCTCAGGGAGGCCAAGGTTCTGGTGAACCCCAAACACCTGATTGCAGGGGTCATTTGCAATTGACTTCTCCACGGCGGAAATCGAACCCGCACTCAGATGCTTGGAATCCCTTTCCAAACATCTGACCAATTCGTACCCGTACCCTGTCGTGCTAGCACATATATATGTGCATCAATTCAAGCCTATATACGCAATGTACATTGTCCACACATAGCTGCACCATCAATCTCCAACATGACCATCACCAGGAGAGTATAAATGTGCTGCGCTTGAGCTGGGTAACGCTTTGTTTCATCCCGGCCGCCGTCACGGGTGGCACTAGTAAAGGGTGAATACATGGAACTGGGGACCGCTAGTCTGAGGTTGAATACTGTGTTGCTTGACTCTAAGGGTCTGTTGTCAAAGCCAGGGTCATCATATTCCAAGCCAGATATTCTTAATGAGATTATTGACGCCTAAGAGCTGTGACCACTCTTATACAATCGTCTCGTGATAATGGGACAGGCTCATTTTTCTGAGTGATACTGTCGACTAGGTAGTTCAACGATGTCACAAAGTGAGCGCAGCATCCCTTTTGGAGTTGCAGCCGCAATTGAAAGCTTTCGACGAGTCCTTACAAGACAGTGGAATAACGTTCGGGATTACACTTTGTCACGATCGGTCAGATCGGTTTATGTTTGAATCTGTTATAGCTGAAAGACCATATGAAGAGCGGAGTCGTAGCACCCCAATGGATATAAGCGAGTCGAGCATAAGTATAAGTGGCACTTGACAGAGGATTGACGATACGACTTCTGCATACGCGCACAGGACGCCGAAGTCGTCCAATAGAATTCAGCACTTGTCGTACTTACTGCCTCGCTTGGTGCTGGCCAGTGTCTCACATGCTGCCGCTTTGTTCTTGCTGAGCAGCAGGTAACGTCCAGTGGTCGGTGCCTACGTGTCAGCAGTGGGATTTGAACACACGAGTGCGAACACAGTAGAGCTTGAGTCTACCCCCTTAGATCACTCGGGCACACTGACGACGACATAGAAAGGACAAACACAAACACACATACACACAACAACACATCAACCACGACGCATCACACGACACACAGTACCCGACCGCACAGCACCCGACCACACCAATTTCGAATGCAAAGGTTGACGTGAGCGCTCAGTAGATGATGCTTGTGGCTGAAATAGTAGCATCAAAAGTGAGTTATAAATTGTGTGTTATCTCTTATCTTCTGTACTGTCATATCGCCGCTTGCTGTCCATACCTTTACGTCTCTTCCCCGCTGATTACCCATTTAATTAACCAATCATTGGCCATTGTCGCGTTCCCTTTCTCTATGATGTGTGCCACAAAGTCTTAGATTTTGTACTGTTTGTAGGTGGAAGGTGATGCTTCTTGTGCAGTTGCATGGAAAGTTCATTTATATTCAAGTGTTTCATTGTTTGTACTGGTTAGTAGTTAGTACAAGTATTTTAGGAAAAGTTGCACGGATAGTTGACAAGTTTCAGTGGCTCAGTCGGGAAGGCGTGGCAGCGTTATCCCGGAGGGGTTGGTTCGATCCCAGGTGGGGGCATGTTATAAAGTTAAGCCTTCGGGACCTGGTGTCTAGGGTTCACCAGCACTGTCCTGCCAGATAGTGACGTCCCCTACTTTTGCGACAGGGGCACGACAACGACGTGTGATTGGTCATTAGTATTGACCGGTCTGCAGGTGTAACCGCGAATGATGATTGGACAGCTGAGACGACTGGCGACGAAGCGCTGAAGAGCTAATGGTAGCAAGAATGAGACCAATGGTAGGAAGAGGTAAACACAATGCTATTCACTTTTGGTTTTACTGCTTCGACCACAAGCAACTTCTAAGCGCTCACGACAACCTAGGAATTCAACACTGTTGAATTGACTTAGGTTTCTGATAATGAGGCAGACTTGCGGTCGGGATGGGAAACCGAAAAGTGAGTTGCATTTAATTGGATTCGCAAATCGAAACCAATGGCTACCAGACACCGATGACTCTCAGCCACCGATTTCACCGTTCTTTCTCTCCTATGTGACATTTCCTATCTTGGGTAATCACGACTCGCAACATACCTGCGGTAAACACTCCACACAAGCCTATGCCCAATGATAGTTCTTGCGTGGTGTGGGGGACATAACCTCAGGGAGGCCAAGGTTCTGGTGAACCCCAAACACCTTATTGCGGGGGCCATTTGTGTTAGCGAGTGATGATGCGACGGCGACTTACGCGGGGTGTATATTGCATATTTGCATTAGTTGTATTGTTTTTTGGCAGGTTTATATTGTGGGATGTTAGCGATACGAGAAGGCATCGGATCGGCTCAGTCGTTTGGGAAGGGGGATTCCACGCGGGTGAGTGCCGGTTTGATCCCTGCCGTGTACAAGTTAATTTTGACGGACACTCACGACCTGGTGTTTGGGGTTCACCAGAACTGTGACCCACCCGCAGTTACGTCCTCCACGCACGCAATCGTTTTCATTCCGCAAATGACACAGCAGAGTTTTACGAAAGGTATTTACGGGACGTAATTACACAGTAATAGGTAAAACAGAAAGCGGTGGAGACAGGGCACGAAATAGGTGGCCGAGAGCCACCGGCTGCTACTAGCCATTCATTTTGAAGCTAGGAACAATTTGAATACAACTCACTTTTCGGTTTTCATCCCCGGCCGTAAGCCATCTTCTTCTTAGCATCAGCTCCTCAACCTAGTTAATTATAACAGGTTGTGAGCCCAAAGAACGACTCCGGTTTCAAGGTCGAGCCTTTCGACGGATCGAACTATGGGTTGTGGAGTTAAAAGATAAAGATGTACCTGATGTCGAAGGGGCTGTGGGGCGCGATTACGGGCGATGAGACAACAAGTGAGGCAAAGGAACAGCAAGCCCACGCCGCGCACGTGCTTAATCTGAGCGATTCGCAGTTGATGCATGTCATCGACTCGGCTACTGCAAGAGAAGCGTGAGGACGTTTGGCGCGATTTCATCACAGTCATGACACGGCGAATCGACTTTGGCTGAAGGAAAAATTCGCGTCGTTCAAGTATGCAGCATCAAGCATGAGCGGTCATGTGATGGAGCTGGAGGACCTCGTGATAAAGATGAAGCGCGCGAACTGCGGTCCAAGCGAAGAGGGCGTGTGCGCAGTATTGTTGCGGAGTCTACCTTCAAGCTTCGAGAGCTTGGTACAGGCATTCTGCATGTCCGTCGCAAGCTCTAGTTTTAGTGACCTCGTAAGCAAGTTGATCGCCGAAGAAGTGCGCCAGAATGAGTCTTCACGGGTAGAAGATGCAACGGCTCTCTACGCAGGCAAGAGGAAAGGTGAGCAGTACCCGAAGAAGCAACAAGGACGGCGCGCGAAAGGACCATCAGAGACCTGCTACAACTGTGGCAAGGTCGGACACTACGCCAGAGGTTGTCGCTCCGGTCGAGGGCCAAGAGAGCAACAGCATGACCAGTCGAATGTCGCGTTCAATGCCTGCGAAGGTGTCGCGAGCGACAGCTGGGTCATGGACAGTGGCGCGTCAGCACGCATGTGCAAGGATCGAGGTGCGTTCGAAGAGTACGAAGAAGTTCGTCATGCGCGAAGCATTTCAAGCGCAAAGAGCGACGTGAAGCTGAATGTCATTGGACATGGGACAGTGAAGCTACGCGTCTGGACAGGGCATGCGTGGATCGACGCTCGCTTTAAAAACACACTTCACGTTCAAGATTTGTCCAAGAACCTTTTTTTCGCTCACGGCTGCGGTAGCGCGCGGCTTGACAGTGGAGATAACGCGCAGCGAGTGCGTGGTCAAGCGTGGCGGCAATACGTCGCAACAGGAAGGATGCAGGGTTTCCTACTGTATCTAACCTCTGATTATGGTTCGGCGTGCCACATGGCCGAAGACGATACAGAGCTATGGCACAGAAGACTGGGTCACGTGTTGTATGGTGTGCTGAATGCCATGGTTAAGGATGGAAGGATCAAGGGCGGATCTGTGAAGACGAACGTTGCGTGTGACGTATGCGCAACGTCAAAGCAAGTGCGCTAGTCATTCAAGACAAGCAAAGAAGACGCTGAAATCAGGGAGAGTTTGCGTTCCCACGTGGTTGTGTGCTCCGACGTTCTCGGACCTATCACGCCAGCGTCCAAGTCTGGTTTCAGTTACGCCGTAACCTTCATCATGATGAAGAGCAGGTTTGTAGCGGTCTATCCGTTGGGAAAGAAGAGCGACGTTGCGAGTGCGTTCAAGGGGTTTTACCAAGATATCAAGACAGCATCTGAAACGAAGATAAAGGTGTTGCGAAGTGACAACAGCGGCGAATACCGAAACGAAAGGATGAACAGCTTTTCCAAGGCAAAGTTCATCAAGCAAGAGTTCACGGTTCCGTACAACCCAGAGCAGAACGGGATGGCGGAGCGGATGAACCGCACGCTGGTGGAGATGACACGCTGTATGCTCAAGGAAAGCGGCCTCGACAAGTCGTACTGGTGCGAGGCACTGATGACAGCGGCAGACATCAGAAACATTCTGCCGAACGCGTCGAACAAGAACTCAATCAAGCCCACACGAGATGGTGTTCAAGAAGGTTCCGCGCATCGATCACATGCGCGTGTTTGGTGCGCAATGCTATGCGCATGTGGCGAAGGAGAAGAGGAAGAAGCTGGACGACTCAGGCGTGCGATGTTTCTTTCTCGGCTATGCGAAAGACCAAAAGGCGTATAGGCTTTTTAGTGCGGACGATGGCTCAATCGTGATTTCAAGAAGCGTCACGTTCGCTGAGCATTCTGTCTCGAAAGCATCGAAAAGCAGAGACACGCGGGTGTTCGATGTCATTGAAGAAGATGAAAGTGTGGAGGCGTCGCTACCCGATAATGAAGAAATACCAGCGCCGGTGACCGAAGAAGAGCTGCGCACCCCACCACTTCAAGCACAGAGCAGCTCTCATCACGGACCAAGTGATCGACCACGCGACACCATTCCTACGCGCTCATCCAGCACACCCGGAATAAATGGAGAAGAAGAGTGGATGGTGCTACCGGTTCGGAAGAAGCGCGGCGTGGTTCGCTACGAGCAAGAATTTCCAAGCCATCGTCGGAGTCACTTCAATTTGGACGACTACGAAGGTAACTTCGACTCTTTCTACTGTTTCTCGGCTGAAGAAGATGGGGAACAAGCGTCCAGCTATCAAGAGGTGATGAAGAGCAGCTACAAGGATCAATGGCTGTAGGCGATGAAGAGTGAGAGAAAGTCGCTTGAAGAACACAGCACATGGAAGCTAGTGGACATGCCACCGGGAAAGAAGGCCGTAGGCTGCAAGTGGGTCTTCAAGATTAAACGCGATCCAAGTGGGAAGATCATCAAGTTCAAGGCGCGCTTGGTTGCGAAGGGGTTCACGCAGCGTCCTGGCATCGACTACAACGAGACCTTCGCACCAGTGGCACGCAAGGAATTTATCAACACAGTGTTGGCGATCGCTGCAGCTGAAGACCTGGAAGCAGAAAACGTTGATGTCGACACAGCGTTTCTCTACGGCGAAGTGGAAGAGGAGATCTACATGAACCAACCTGAAGGTTTTGAAGATGAAGGAAGCCCGAAAAGAAATGTTTGCTGCAGAAGGCTCTATACGGGACGAAGCAAGCGGCGCGGCAGTGGAACAACAAGTTGAGTCAGCACTTGGATGATCAAGGGTTCAAGAGCAGTGCAGCGGACCCGTGTTTGTTCGTTCGAGTGACAAGAGAGGAGTACAGCATCATCGTGATTTACGTGGACGACTTGATGATTTTCTGCAAGACGAAGGAGCACATCGCAAGTAACAAGCACTCATTGATGGAAGATTTTAGCATTAAAGATCTTGGAGATCTCAAGTTATGCCTCGGGATCGAGATTCATCGCAAGCGCGAAGATGGAACGATCAAGATGAACCAGAAGGCGTACATCAAGCGACTTTCAGATAAGTTCGGCGTTGAAAACTGCAAGGACGTGCACACGCCGGCGGACAGTAACTCGAAGTTGGTCAAGATGGGTCAAGAGGAAGCGTTTGTACCAAAGTACCCACACCTTGACCTGGTGGGCGCTTTAATGTACATCGCCACATGTACACGAACGAGCATTGTGCATGCGGTTGGCGAAGTTGCGAAGTTTTGCGAGCGCTACGATAACTCGCATTGGACAGCAGCAAAGCGGATTCTCAAGTATCTCAAGACGACTCAAGACCTAATCATCGTTTTCAGCGACATCAACAAGGAAGAGCTGATCGGATCGCGGATGCAAACTGGGCTGGCGACCTCGGCACGCAGCGTTCGACAAAAGGATACGTTTTCTTTATGAACGGAAGCGTGATATCGTGGAACTCGAAGCGTCAACCAACGGTCGCGACCTCAAGTACTGAAGCAGAGCACTTGAGTCTGTACAGCGCGCCGCAGGAAGCAATTTGGCTTCGAGGTCTGCTCAAGTACCTATACTATTGTACCAAGAACGCGACGACGTTTTTTCAAGACAATCAAGGTTGCATCGCGTTGGCCAATAATTCTGTGTACCACTCGCGCACGAAGCACATCGACATCAAGTTTCTCTTTTTGCGTGAAAAGGTTACAAGTGCAGTGATCGCGCTCGAGTTCAAGCCGACAAAGGAAATGGTCGCGGACGAATTCATCAAGGCACTTCCAAGAGACAAGCACAGCAAGCTCATCACGGGTCTGTACATGGCGGTGTAAGGCGCACACGTCGCACGCACATCAAGGGAGAGTGTTAGCGAGTGATGATGCGACGACTTATGCAGGGTGTATATTGCTTATTTGCATTAGTTGTATTGTTTTTTGGCAGGTTTATATCGTGGGATGTCAGCGATACGACAAGGCATCGGATCGGCTCAGTCGTTTGGGAAGGGGGATTCCACGCGGGTGAGTGCCGGTTTGATCCCTGCCGTGTACAAGTTAATTTTGACGGACACTCACGACCTGGTGTTTGGGGTTCACCAGAACTGTGACCCACCCGCAGTTACGTCCCCCACGCACGCAATCGTTTTCATTCCGCAAATGACACAGCAGAGTTTTACGAAAGGTATTTACGGGACGTAATTACACAGTAATAGGTAAAACAGAAAGCGGTGGAGACAGGGCACGAAATAGGTGGCCGAGAGCCACCGGCTGCTACTAGCCATTCATTTTGAAGCTAGGAACAATTTGAATACAACTCACTTTTCGGTTTTCATCCCCGGCCGTAAGCCATCTTCTTCTTAGCATCAGCTCCTCAACCTAGTTAATTATAACAGGTTGTGAGCCCAAAGAACGACTCCGGTTTCAAGGTCGAGCCTTTCGACGGATCGAACTATGGGTTGTGGAGTTAAAAGATAAAGATGTACCTGATGTCGAAGGGGCTGTGGGGCGCGATTACGGGCGATGAGACAACAAGTGAGGCAAAGGAACAGCAAGCCCACGCCGCGCACGTGCTTAATCTGAGCGATTCGCAGTTGATGCATGTCATCGACTCGGCTACTGCAAGAGAAGCGTGGGGACGTTTGGCGCGATTTCATCACAGTCATGACACGGCGAATCGACTTTGGCTGAAGGAAAAATTCGCGTCGTTCAAGTATGCAGCATCAAGCATGAGCGGTCATGTGATGGAGCTGGAGGACCTCGTGATAAAGATGAAGCGCGCGAACTGCGGTTCAAGCGAAGAGGACGTGTGCGCAGTATTGTTGCGGAGTCTACCTTCAAGCTTCGAGAGCTTGGTACAGGCATTCTGCATGTCCGTCGCAAGCTCTAGTTTTAGTGACCTCGTAAGCAAGTTGATCGCCGAAGAAGTGCGCCAGAATGAGTCTGCACGGGTAGAAGATGCAACGGCTCTCTACGCAGGCAAGAGGAAAGGTGAGCAGTACCCGAAGAAGCAACAAGGACGGCGCGCGAAAGGACCATCAGAGACCTGCTACAACTGTGGCAAGGTCGGACACTACGCCAGAGGTTGTCGCTCCGGTCGAGGGCCAAGAGAGCAACAGCATGACCAGTCGAATGTCGCGTTCAATGCCTGCGAAGGTGTCGCGAGCGACAGCTGGGTCATGGACAGTGGCGCGTCAGCACGCATGTGCAAGGATCGAGATGCGTTCGAAGAGTACGAAGAAGTTCGTCATGCGCGAAGCATTTCAAGCGCAAAGAGCGACGTGAAGCTGAATGTCATTGGACATGGGACAGTGAAGCTACGCGTCTGGACAGGGCATGCGTGGATCGACGCTCGCTTTAAAAACACACTTCACGTTCAAGATTTGTCCAAGAACCTTTTTTCGCTCACGGCTGCGGTAGCGCGCGGCTTGACAGTGGAGATAACGCGCAGCGAGTGCGTGGTCAAGCGTGGCGGCAATACGTCGCAACAGGAAGGATGCAGGGTTTCCTACTGTATCTAACCTCTGATTATGGTTCGGCGTGCCACATGGCCGAAGACGATACAGAGCTATGGCACAGAAGACTGGGTCACGTGTTGTATGGTGTGCTGAATGCCATGGTTAAGGATGGAAGGATCAAGGGCGGATCTGTGAAGACGAACGTTGCGTGTGACGTATGCGCAACGTCAAAGCAAGTGCGCTAGTCATTCAAGACAAGCAAAGAAGACGCTGAAATCAGGGAGAGTTTACGTTCCCACGTGGTTGTGTGCTCCGACGTTCTCGGACCTATCACGCCAGCGTCCAAGTCTGGTTTCAGTTACGCCGTAACCTTCATCATGATGAAGAGCAGGTTTGTAGCGGTCTATCCGTTGGGAAAGAAGAGCGACGTTGCGAGTGCGTTCAAGGGGTTTTACAAAGATATCAAGACAGCATCTGAAACGAAGATAAAGGTGTTGCGAAGTGACAACAGCGGCGAATACCGAAACGAAAGGATGAACAGCTTTTCCAAGGCAAAGTTCATCAAGCAAGAGTTCACGGTTCCGTACAACCCAGAGCAGAACGGGATGGCGAAGCGGATGAACCGCACGCTGGTGGAGATGACACGCTGTATGCTCAAGGAAAGCGGCCTCGACAAGTCGTACTGGTGCGAGGCACTGATGACAGCGGCAGACATCAGAAACATTCTGCCGAACGCGTCGAACAAGAACTCAATCAAGCCCACACGAGATGGTGTTCAAGAAGGTTCCGCGCATCGATCACATGCGCGTGTTTGGTGCGCAATGCTATGCGCATGTGGCGAAGGAGAAGAGGAAGAAGCTGGACGACTCAGGCGTGCGATGTTTCTTTCTCGGCTATGCGAAAGACCAAAAGGCGTATAGGCTTTTTAGTGCGGACGATGGCTCAATCGTGATTTCAAGAAGCGTCACGTTCGCTGAGCATTCTGTCTCGAAAGCATCGAAAAGCAGAGACACGCGGGTGTTCGATGTCATTGAAGAAGATGAAAGTGTGGAGGCGTCGCTACCCGATAATGAAGAAATACCAGCGCCGGTGACCGAAGAAGAGCTGCGCACCCCACCACTTCAAGCACAGAGCAGCTCTCATCACGGACCAAGTGATCGACCACGCGACACCATTCCTACGCGCTCATTTAGCACACCCGGAATAAATGGAGAAGAAGAGTGGATGGTGCTACCGGTTCGGAAGAAGCGCGGCGTGGTTCGCTACGAGCAAGAATTTCCAAGCCATCGTCGGAGTCACTTCAATTTGGACGACTACGAAGGTAACTTCGACTCTTTCTACTGTTTCTCGGCTGAAGAAGATGGGGAACAAGCGTCCAGCTATCAAGAGGTGATGAAGAGCAGCTACAAGGATCAATGGCTGTAGGCGATGAAGAGTGAGAGAAAGTCGCTTGAAGAACACAGCACATGGAAGCTAGTGGACATGCCACCGGGAAAGAAGGCCGTAGGCTGCAAGTGGGTCTTCAAGATTAAACGCGATACAAGTGGGAAGATCATCAAGTTCAAGGCGCGCTTGGTTGCGAAGGGGTTCACGCAGCGTCCTGGCATCGACTACAACGAGACCTTCGCACCAGTGGCACGCAAGGAATTTATCAACACAGTGTTGGCGATCGCTGCAGCTGAAGACCTGGAAGCAGAAAACGTTGATGTCGACACAGCGTTTCTCTACGGCGAAGTGGAAGAGGAGATCTACATGAACCAACCTGAAGGTTTTGAAGATGAAGGAAGCCCGAAAAGAAATGTTTGCTGCAGAAGGCTCTATACGGGACGAAGCAAGCGGCGCGGCAGTGGAACAACAAGTTGAGTCAGCACTTGGATGATCAAGGGTTCAAGAGCAGTGCAGCGGACCCGTGTTTGTTCGTTCGAGTGACAAGAGAGGAGTACAGCATCATCGTGATTTACGTGGACGACTTGATGATTTTCTGCAAGACGAAGGAGCACATCGCAAGTAACAAGCACTCATTGATGGAAGATTTTAGCATTAAAGATCTTGGAGATCTCAAGTTATGCCTCGGGATCGAGATTCATCGCAAGCGCGAAGATGGAACGATCAAGATGAACCAGAAGGCGTACATCAAGCGACTTTCAGATAAGTTCGGCGTTGAAAACTGCAAGGACGTGCACACGCCGGCGGACAGTAACTCGAAGTTGGTCAAGATGGGTCAAGAGGAAGCGTTTGTACCAAAGTACCCACACCTTGACCTGGTGGGCGCTTTAATGTACATCGCCACATGTACACGAACGAGCATTGTGCATGCGGTTGGCGAAGTTGCGAAGTTTTGCGAGCGCTACGATAACTCGCATTGGACAGCAGCAAAGCGGATTCTCAAGTATCTCAAGACGACTCAAGACCTAATCATCGTTTTCAGCGACATCAACAAGGAAGAGCTGATCGGATCGCGGATGCAAACTGGGCTGGCGACCTCGGCACGCAGCGTTCGACAAAAGGATACGTTTTCTTTATGAACGGAAGCGTGATATCGTGGAACTCGAAGCGTCAACCAACGGTCGCGACCTCAAGTACTGAAGCAGAGCACTTGAGTCTGTACAGCGCGCCGCAGGAAGCAATTTGGCTTCGAGGTCTGCTCAAGTACCTATACTATTGTACCAAGAACGCGACGACGTTTTTTTCAAGACAATCAAGGTTGCATCGCGTTGGCCAATAATTCTGTGTACCACTCGCGCACGAAGCACATCGACATCAAGTTTCTCTTTTTGCGTGAAAAGGTTACAAGTGCAGTGATCGCGCTCGAGTTCAAGCCGACAAAGGAAATGGTCGCGGACGAATTCATCAAGGCACTTCCAAGAGACAAGCACAGCAAGCTCATCACGGGTCTGTACATGGCGGTGTAAGGCGCACACGTCGCACGCACATCAAGGGAGAGTGTTAGCGAGTGATGATGCGACGACTTATGCAGGGTGTATATTGCTTATTTGCATTAGTTGTATTGTTTTTTGGCAGGTTTATATCGTGGGATGTCAGCGATACGACAAGGCATCGGATCGGCTCAGTCGTTTGGGAAGGGGGATTCCACGAGGGTGAGTGCCGGTTTGATCCCTGCCGTGTACAAGTTAATTTTGACGGACACTCACGACCTGGTGTTTGGGGTTCACCAGAACTGTGATCCACCCGCAGTTACGTCCCCCACGCGCGCAACCGTTTTCATTCTGCAAATGACACAGCAGAGTTTTACGAAAGGTATTTACGGGACGTAATTACACAGTAATAGGTAAAACAGAAAGCGGTAGAGACAGGGCACGAAATAGGTGGCCGAGAGCCACCGGCTGCTACTAGCCATTCATTTTGAAGCTAGGAACAATTTGAATACAACTCACTTTTCGGTTTTCATCCCCGGCCGTAAGCCATCTTCTTCTTCGCATCAGCTCCTCAACCTAGTTAATTCTAACAGTAAAAGCTAGGGTCATCATATTCCAAGCCAGATATTCTTAATGAGATTATTGACGCCTAAGAGCTGTGACCACTCTTATACAATCGTCTCGTGATAATGGGACAGGATCATTTTTCTGAGCGATACTGTCAACAAGGTAGTTCAACGATGTCACAAAGTGAGCGCAGCATCCCTTTTAGAGTTGCAGCCGCAATTGAAAGCTTTCGACTAGTCCTTACAAGACAGTGGAATAACGTTCGGGATTACACTTTGTCACGATCGGTCAGATCGGTTTATGTTTGAATCTGTTATAGCTGAAAGACCATATGAAGAGCGGAGTCGTAGCACCCCAATGGATATAAGCGAGTCGAGCATAAGTATAAGTGGCACTTGACAGAGGATTGACGATACGACTTCTGCATACGCGCACAGGACGCCGAAGTCATCCAATAGAATTCAGCACTTGTCGTACTTACTGCCTCGCTTGGTGCGGGCCAGTGTCTCACATGCTGCCGCTTTGTTCTTGCTGAGCAGCAGGTAACGTCCAGTGATCGGTGCCTACGTGTCAGCGGTGGGATTTGAACACACGAGTGCGAACACAGTAGAACTTGAGTCTACCCCCTTAGACCACTCGGGCACACTGACGACGACATAGAAAGGACAAACACAAACACACATACACACAACAACACATCAACCACGACGCATCACACGACACACAGTACCTGACAGCACAGCACCCGACCACACCAATTTCGAATGCGAAGGTTGACGTGAGCGCTCAGTAGATGATGCTTGTGGCCGAAATAGTAGCATCAAAAGTGAGTTATAAATCGTGTGTTATCTCTTATCTTCTGTACTGTCATATCGCCGCTTGCTGTCCATACCTTTACGTCTCTTCCCCGCTGATTACCCATTTAATTAACCAATCATTGGCCATTGTCGCGTTCCCTTTCTCTCTGATGTGTGCCACAAAGTCTTAGATTTTGTACTGTTGAATTGACTTAGGTTTCTGATGATGAGGTGGACTTGCGGTCGGGATGGAAAACCGAAAAGTGAGTTGTATTCAATTGGATTCGCAAATCGAAACCAATGGCTATCAGAAACCGATGACTTTCAGCCACCGATTTCACCGTTCTTTCTCTCCTATGTGACATTTCCTATCTTGGGTAATCACGACTCGCAACATACCTGCGGTAAACACTCCACACAAGCCTATGCCCAATGATAGTTCTTGCGTGTTGTGGGGGACATAACCTCAGGGAGGCCAAGGTTCTGGTGAACCCCAAACACCTGATTGCAGGGGTCATTTGCAATTGACTTCTCCACGGCGGAAATCGAACCCGCACTCAGATGCTTGGAATCCCTTTCCAAACATCTGACCAATTCGTACCCGTACCCTGTCGTGCTAGCACATATATATGTGCATCAATTCAAGCCTATATACGCAATGTACATTGTCCACACATAGCTGCACCATCAATCTCCAACATGACCATCACCAGGAGAGTATAAATGTGCTGCGCTTGAGCTGGGTAACGCTTTGTTTCATCCCGGCCGCCTTCACGGGTGGCACTAGTAAAGGGTGAATACATGGAACTGGGGACCGCTGGTCTGAGGTTGAATACTGTGTTGCTTGACTCTAAGGGTCTGTTGTCAAAGCCAGGGTCATCATATTCCAAGCCAGATATTCTTAATGAGATTATTGACGCCTAAGAGCTGTGACCACTCTTATACAATCGTCTCATGATAATGGGACAGGCTCATTTTTCTGAGCGATACTGTCGACTAGGTAGTTCAACGATGTCACAAAGTGAGCGCAGCATCTCTTTTGGAGTTGCAGCCGCAATTGAAAGCTTTCGATGAGTCCTTACAAGACAGTGGAATAACGTTCGGGATTACACTTTGTCACGATCGGTCAGATCGGTTTATGTTTGAATCTGTTATAGCTGAAAGACCATATGAAGAGCGGAGTCGTAGCACCCTAATGGATATAAGCGAGTCGAGCATAAGTATAAGTGGCACTTGACAGAGGATTGACGATACGACTTCTGCATACGCGCACAGGACGCCGAAGTCATCCAATAGAATTCAGCACTTGTCGTACTTACTGCCTCGCTTGGTGCGGGCCAGTGTCTCACATGCTGCCGCTTTGTTCTTGCTGAGCAGCAGGTAACGTCCAGTGGTCGGAGCCTACGTGTCAGCGGTGGGATTTGAACACACGAGTGCGAACACAGTAGAACTTGAGTCTACCCCCTTAGACCACTCGGGCACACTGACGACGACATAGGGAGGACCAACACAAACAAACATACACACAACAACACATCAACCACGACACATCACGCGACACACAGTACCCGACCGCACAGCACCCGACCACACCAATTTCGAATGCGAAGGTTGACGTGAGCGCTCAGTAGATGATGCTTGTGGCTGAAGTAGTAGCATCAAAAGTGAGGTATAAATTGTGAGTTATCTCTTATCTTCTGTGCTGTCATATCGCCGCTTGCTGTCCATACCTTTACGTCTCTTCCCCGCTGATTACACATTTAATTAACCAATCATTGGCCATTGTCGCGTTCCCTTTCTCTCTGATGTGTGCCACAAAGTCTTAGATTTTGTACTGTTGAATTGACTTAGGTTTCTGATGATGAGGCGGACTTGCGGTCGGGATGGAAAACCGAAAAGTGAGTTGTATTTAATTGGATTCGCAAATCGAAACCAATGGCTATCAGAAACCGATGACTCTCAGCCACCGATTTCACCGTCCTTTCTCTCCTATGTGACATTTCCTATCTTGGGCAATCACGACTCGCAACATACCTGCGGTAAACACTCCACAGAAGCCTATGCCCAATGATAGGTTCTTGCGTGGTGTGGGGGACATCACCTCGGGGAGGTCAAGGTTCTGGTGAACCCCAAACACCTGATTGCGGGGGTCATTTGCAATTGACTTCTCCACGGCGGAAATCGAACCCGCACTCAGATGCTTGGAATCCCTTTCCAAACATCTGACCAATTCGTACCCGTACCCTGTCGTGCTAGCACATATATATGTGCATCAATGCAAGCCTATGTACGCAATGTACATTGTCCACACATAGCTGCACCATCAATCTCCAACATGACCATCACCAGGAGAGTATAAATGTGCTGCGCTTGAGCTGGGTAACGCTTTGTTTCATCCCGGCCGCCGTCACGGGTGGCACTAGTAAAGGGTGAATACATGGAACTGGGGACCGCTGGTCTGAGGTTGAACACTGTGTTGCTTGACTCTAAGGGTCTGTTGTCAAAGCCAGGGTCATCATATTCCAAGCCAGCTATTCTTCATGAGATTATTGACGCCTAAGAGCTGTGACCACTCTTATACAATCGTCTCATGATAATGGGACAGGCTCATTTTTCTGAGCGATACTTTCAACTAGGTAGTTCAACGATGTCACAAAGTGAGCGCAGCATCCCTTTTGGAGTTGCAGCCGCAATTGAAAGCTTTCGACGAGCCCTTACAAGACAGTGGAATAACGTTCGGGATTACACTTTGTCACGATCGGTCCGATCGGTTTATGTTTGAATCTGTTATAGCTGAAAGACCACATGAAGAGCGGAGTCGTAGCACCCCAATGGATATAAGCGAGTCGAGCATAAGTATCAGTGGCACTTGACAGAGGATTGACGATTCGACTTCTGCATACGCGCACAGAACGCCGAAGTCGTCCAATAGAATTCAGCACTTGTCGTACTTACTGCCTCGCTTGGTGCTGGCCAGTGTCTCACATGCTGCCGTTTCGTTCTTGCTGAGCAGCAGGTAACGTCCAGTGGTCATGGCCTACGTTTTAGCAGTGGGATTAGAATCCACGAGTGCGGACACAGTATAACTTGAGTCTACCCCCTTAGACCACTCGGGCACACTGACGACGACATAGGGAAGACCAACACAAACAAACATACACACAACAACACATCAACCACGACACATCACGCGACACACAGTACCCGACCGCACAGCACCCGACCACACCAATTTCGAATGCGAAGGTTGACGTGAGCGCTCAGTAGATGATGCTTGTGGCTGAA